AAGCAGTTACTTTGAATTTAATGCTATTTTTCTTCATAAGCCTGAACTCTAAACATGTATTTTACAGCCAATACATTTAGCATCTATTTTTTTTTTCCATCCAGAGCATGGTGTTTGATGTTTATCGCTCTAATTGTTTATTCATGAAAAAGAAAATAACTTCTCAGTGTGTAGTTAACATTAATACAACAGTGCCACCCAATGAATATGCTGTACATACAAGTGTTACTAGAATTTACCATTTCCTTTAATTAGTGTATTTTCAGTATATATATGGCCCTGATCATTTATATAAAATTATGCACTAATAATTTACTATTTCAAAAATATGTAAAAGCATTATATATTTTACCTATTGGTTCATAATTAACTGAAGATGTGCAAAGGATATCCCAACACTTGTGAAGAAAGGGTTTTGCATATTAAATGTTACCTGTAATGTTAGCTGACAGGAGAGACACAGTTTCTTTTCAAATGTTAGGCAGGTATAAAACTATGATGCTCCTTCACTTTTGTAGATTTTATCTATACCTCATAATATATAATTTCAAAGATTTTCTGTCTGGTGCCCTTAATATAAAATGTGTGTTCATAATTTCACTTCAGCCTGCTATTCATAGTCAGTCATCATTTTTAAGAATTCAATACTTATGATTCATATAAGTAAATTGAATGATAGCATCAATAAAAAAACATAGAATCTGTAAATCAGTCAATAATGTGATGTGGTCAAAATATTAATATGATTTCAGATAGCTTTATGATATCACACTCTACACTGATCAGACCATAGTTGGAGTATTGTTTTCAGTTTTAAGACTGTACGAATTGAATGGAACACTTTTTTGTCATCCTTTTATTTCTCAGGAAATATAAGCACATGAGGAGGGGGAAGCAAAAGGAACCAAAACACATACAATTAAAAAAAAAAGTCTCTTTTTCACCCTGACCCCCCAGTTTCTCTCTTCAGTGGCTACTACTACTACTTTCTCGTGTTAGATGTACTGTGTTTAAAAGGAGTAGTTCAGTTCAACAACACAGGTTGAATGGTGCCCAGTTTGCTTCAGGAATGGTGGTAGGTGCTGGGGAATCAAAGGTCATTAAGAACCAGCGTTGTGCCATAGTGGAAACAGGCTCAAATGTATCATTTGATATAATACAAACTCTTTTTAAGCATGCAAAGAATTCACCTCAGAGCTCTCTTCTTGAGTTTTGGAATCATTCTTCCAATTACCATGTAGCTGAACAACATCATGCATATGTTTCATAGGCACCTTGAGCTGGACATGTCCAAAACTGAACCACCAGTCACCTCCCAAATGAGCTTGCCTCTGTTATCTAAATCAGAGAATGGCACCCAATTCATCTAGGTGCTCAAGCCAGAAAACTCATTCATTCAATATTTATCAAGCCATCTACAGTGTGTGAGGAGACTTCAAAAAGTTCGTGGAAAAAATGGGATTAAAAGAAAAAGTAAAAAATAAACTATTTCTTAACATAAGCTCCATGAAGTTCAAGACAATGATACCAGCCAATTACTCCATCCCTAAAGAACTGAGGTCCTGGGAATTTCATCATGTCAATAGCATTTCTTACTTTGTTAACTGAAGAAAAATGGGTGCCCTTTAAAGAGGTTCTAAAACTAGGAAATGAAAAGAAGTCAGAAGGAGCCAAATCAGGACTGTAAGGTGGATACCTAATGATGTCCCATCAAAACTCACAAAATCGCCCTTGTTTGAAGAGAAGAATGAGCAGGAGCACTGTTGTGGTGAAGAACTCTCTGGTAAAGCTTTCCCAGGCGTTTTTCTGATAAATCATAAGCACTTGTTATCATTCTTTGGCCCTCCAGAAAGTCAACAAACAAAATACATTGAGCAACTCAAAAAACTGTTTCTGCGACCTCTGCTCCTGACCAGTCTGCTTTTGCTTTGACTGCACCACTTCCGCCTCTTGGTAGCTACGGCTTTGACTGTGTTTTGTCTTCAGGATCACGCTGGTCAAGCCATGTTTCACCTCCTGTTACAATTCTCCGAAGAAATGCTTCAGGATCTTGAACCCACTTGTTTAAAATTTCCATTGAGAGCTCTGCTCCTGTCTGCAGCTGATCTGGGCGCAACAATCTGGGCACCCATCGAGCAGAAAGTTTGCTCAACTGTAATTTTTCAGTCAGAATTGTGTAAGCTGAACCAATTGAGATGTCTATGGTGTTGGCTATGGTTTCTGCTGTTAATCGTCGGTTCTCTTTAATTAGGGCCCGAACAAGATTAATTTTTTCCTCGCAAATTGATGTGGATGGTCTGCCACTGCGGGCTTCGTCTTCAACGTCATCTCGTCCTTCCTTAAAACGAGTTATCCATTTGTAAACTGCTGATTTCTTTGGGGCACTGTCCCCATAAACTTTTCTTAAAGCATCAATGATTTCACCACTCTTCCACCCAAGCTTCACCATAAACTTGATGTTTGTTCTTGCTTCAATTTTAGCAGAATTCACGTTGGTTTTCATACTGACGTCTTATCCTTCTTAGTGCCTTAAACTAGATCCTGTTCAGACACGTTATAACAAGTTAGTACAAGTTTATTTTTGTGCAAAAAATTTTGAAATCCATGCATAGTTTTCTCATGATATGCTTTTTCCATGAACCCCTCTTCTAAGGACTTATGCTAAGCTATGAATACATGACAGCAAATAGGGCAGTCCTTGCCTTCACTCAAGCCTGCTTATAGAACCCCATCCTTCTGTCATCCATGCTTCCATCTCTACCCTCACAATCTAATCAGCCACCCAGTTCTGCCACTTCTACTTCCTGCATTCTTCTGGTCTATTTCTATCTACACTGGCAATACCCTAGTACAGGCTGCCATATTCTCTCCCCTGGATTACTACAATGATCTCCTAACTGGTTTCCTTCCCTCTTGTGTTGCTGTTCTTTACTTCCTTTTTCTCAGTAGCCAGATTCATCATGTAAAATACAAACATAATCATGTTGAAGTCACTCGGACTTACTATTACCCTTCAGAAGCCCTAACTCTACTATGACTAGTAATGCTCTTCATGATCTGGTTGCTGTTTACTTCTCCAGTCCCGTCTAGAATCTCTCAGTTCCTATGTTGTTCTCCTGTCCTGACCAGGTCTTTACAAACATTGTTACCTTTATCTAGAACAGTTGCCCTTCACCCTTGAACCTGGCCAGTTCCTGGCTATTCTCAAACATGGATCCAATCAGCAGATGGGACTGCTTTTCTTTTTTTTTACCCTTTAGTTATCTGTCTTCCTTCCCTATGAGACTGTAAGCTCTTCTGGGGGCAGGTATTAGGTTGGTTATCACATTTGCTTGTTCGCTATTATATTTCCAGTATCTAGTTCAGTGTCTGGCACAAAATAAAAGCCCAGTGAATATTTTTTGAATGAATAAATAAATGCCAAAAAAGCAAGGAGAAAAGTTAGCTAACTCAGACTATGGAATAAGGAAAGGCTTCTTGGAAGACCTCTGAAAAATAGGTGAGGATAAAGAAGAGTCAGGCAAAGAAAATATGGACAGTCCAGATGGAGTCAACAGAATGAGAAAAGGTTTCAAAGTGTAAAACAGCCTCATGAATGGGAAGTGGGTTTGATGGCAGATGTGGCAAGACCACAGAGGCCTGAGCATGCCAAGCTGGACTTTACCTTGGAGGTGACTGGAGGGGGTGTGTGCAGAGATTTAAACAGGTAAGTGGAGTGGTCAGATTGACATTTGATTCTGGTCATTCTGGCTGCTACTTACAAGACAGCTTTGGGGGTGTAGGTGTGGGTGGTAAGACAGGGAGATAGAATTGGTAGTGGAAATGAAGGAAAGAACACTTTAGAGTTTGAAGAGCCCTCTCAAGTGGAGGAAATGAAATTCTAAACCTCAAGAGAAAGGTCAGGAATAGCAGTTGTTTTAGGATCCGGGAGCAAATAAGTTTAAAGAATGGGAGGGAACACTGCCCAAGACGAAGATACAGACAGAAAAACAACTCAAGGGTAGAATATCATTTAAAGGGCAGGCAGAGAAAGGGCCCTGTAAGAAGCACGCACAGGTAGAAAAAATGGGGGAGATGCAAAAGGAGTTAGGTCTCAAGGCGGGTCTGATCAATGGTTATGAAATGCAGCAGAGAGGTCCAGAAAAAGCAGCAGTGATCAACAGCAGTGGTAGAAGTACATTTTATTTTCTGAGATAGACAAATGAGAGGTAGATATTGTGGCACTGAGGGAAGAGGGGAGGCAGGAAGTCAAGGTGTATGCTCCATGATGGCGTCATCAACTTACTGGGGAGAAGGCACTGGAAATGCCTGTGGCTCCTAGGGAGTCTCTATTCCAATGAATGGGTGACTGATGGAAAGTAGAAAATAGGACCCAGTCTTAATATTTCACCTATTCCTACCACATTAGACCTTTTTCATCCTTACTGAACTGCTACAAACAAAGCAGATATAACAGTATGGACTCCATCTCACTTAAAAAAGAGATTTGTTTAAAGCACTAGCTCCCACAGGAACACCACGTGTATTAAAGATAATGGCCCAGCTGCAGGCTGCCATGGTCTCAGTGAGCATCCCTGTCTTGTCACTCAAAGGTCCCTTCAGTCCTCACAGGTCTGTCATTCAGCCTTTAGGTGCAGTCTAGAAAGGAAACAGGTACAACAAGTTGCAGATGCACACAAATATGTGTCAAGTGCTTGAAAAATTTCTTTTAGACTGCTCTGGTTACCTTCTAATGAAGAGCAGAATTGAAGCTGGGAAGGGGACTGAGGAAAGTGGTAAAGTTTGTGAGAAACCACTGAAAGTTACAGGATAAGGAACTGACTAATGATGCATTTAAGGATTGTTAAGAGTCAGGGAGAGGGCTGAAGCTGGAGATGGAGAATCTGTTATATGTCATTTTGTGTTACTTTCTACAGGGAGCCCAGCTGGGATTTATAGAATAGATTCAGGGATAAGGTTTTGACAGGCACCTGGGTCAGAGGCATTGGACACAGGGAGTTTGGATGCTGATAAACCATGTAGATTAGGCTGGGAGGGGAGGCAATGGCAGGAGGGCTGACAGGGAAAATGAAACAGAAGAGCGGATGCAGTGCATGGAGGGTACGATGCTACAGCCAGAAAGAATACTGGACTTTACTTTTCTGCAGTAGTTAGTGTTTTATGAATGATGACAAAACTCTAGAAAGTCTACAGTGAGAATTTTGCTGCTTCATTCTCTACCTCAAACTAACCAGAATCAGGCAACCAACTTTTGAAAAAGATTTTCCCTTGTGATTAAGACCATTTGAATAAACACTTGGTTTTTCCATAAATAATTTCACTTCTAATATAACTATCAATTTGCTATATGCATAGCAAAATTATCCCCCCAAATAAACAATTTTTTATTGTAGGCACAATGAAATGGTTGCCCTGCTCTTTTCTTCCTTCACCTTGTCCTTCTCTTTCCATGTGGTCCATTGTAATCTTGGCTTTCGTGTATGTCACTTTTTCCTTGTCTAGACTTCCAACAACAGTTCAGGCATTTGTTGAGCACTTACACTTGCAAGATATTTTACTAGGGACCATGTACAAATAATAATAGTCAAAATAACAGCTAATGCTTATCAAGTGCTCACAGCATTGCCAGGCACTTCACTAAGCACTTTACATCAACTAATTTGCTTAATCTTCACCATACCCTGTAAAGCTGACAGGACTGTTACTATTTTAAAGATGCAGAAACCAACTCAGTTAGGTTAAACAACTTGTCCAAGTCCACACAGGTGGACATAGTCAGGGATTTACATCCAATCCTTTCTTTTCTCTAGAGCTGCACTCTCAGCTGCTTTACTGTGCTCCCCATCCCTGCCTGTAGGAGATGTGGTCAAGTGGAGGATGTGCATGCATAAGTAATCAATTTGATTTCACAAGGTACAATGAGAAGGTCTTTTGTTCTCCTTTCCTCACTGACTCTCTGATATTTTTTTTTAAATTGATTTTCCTAACCTACTTTTGTACAAGGTACAATGAGAAGGTCTTTTGTTCTCCTTTCCTCACTGACTCTCTGATATTTTTTTTAAAATTGATTTTCCTAACCTACTTTTGTGTTTTACTAGATTGACTTTGAGTCTAACATGATTAAGAAGACTCGGGGGAAAAAAAAAAAAAGAAAGCCCTAAACTACTAAATATAAAATGTATTTTTATTTAGAATTGATATAGACTTCTATGTCAATAGGTATAGTCCTTCAATCCACACAAGAAAGCCGCAGATTTTGTTTCTATTTTCAACACAACCTTTGTAGCACTGTTTTTCACATAATTCAGTACAGACTCCACATCCAACATACCACTGTGACCAGACAGTGCTGTAGCCTGTAACAAGATGTAAATCCTATTATGTCCTCTGGTACCCCAAACCTCAATGAAACTTAATGGCCTTTCCCCCTGACTACTAGGTCCATCTTTCCTTTAGCTGCAAGGACCCTGATGTGATGTATGAAGTGTACTGTGTTCACTCTTGACGGAAAACCCATGTGAAAAATACAGATTTCAGGGTCCCTTACCTGAAAAATCCAACTCACTCAGGGACATGCAAGTTTGTGGAACAGTTCAGTGGCGGAAAGCAACTGGAGTACCTGGTTCCTGCGCAGGAATGAACAGAGAGAGGGAGAAGCTAAGATAAGGAGACTAGGGTTCTACTCTAGCCAGTGCCACTGACTTTGTAACGGGGATCAAATCACTTCTCTCTGAGCTCAGTTTTCCTACCTGTCAAAGTCAAAGGATTTGGCTAGCTGACCTGTTAGGTTCCTTCCACCCACCTCTCAAGGTCATGCTTATTGATAACAACAACAGAAAAATCTGCTTTGCCCAGATTAGCTAAATTATAATGCCTTGGGAGATCTGGTAATAAATGAGGAGTCACATCTGCAAGTCCTAGAAAACGTTATTATAAGATCATTTTTACTTAGATGCAGGTGTGCTGACACTAGAACGTCACAAAATAACCTAGAATGCTCTTGTAATCCTTACTCTAGATTCCCGCATGTAGGATGTAACCTAGAAACAATCCCGAATTTATACGTCACATACAGCCAATAGAAAAAGTGAAGTGATTAGGCGGGGCTGTCCCGTTTCTGCCCCTTCTTGTGATTATGCAGTGCTAAGCTCTACTGGCACTCTTCGGAGGACACTTCTCGGGCGACCTGATCTATGCATTTCTCCAGTTGCAATCGTCATATTGGCTCAATAAATCCTATGCTTTATAGGTTCGGCCTCAGTTTCTTTTAGGTCAACATACAGCAGAATGAGATCTGTGCCCATACCCTGGCTATGCTGCGTGTGAACTACCGTGCGCAGCTGTGGGTCAGTCGCATCACCTTCCCGATTTAGAGGCCGCCTTTGAGGCGACAGAGAGGGTATCTACCCGCCCCCGCTCTCCCCTCTAACGAAGCCTACAGGAGACCATGCCTCCAAGCATCTGACGCGGAACCCGGCTCATAATCAATGCTCAGCAAACGGTCACCCCTCTGGGACTCTCCGACTCACCTCTGTGCCTCCCGTCCTTTCTCCTTGGCGCCCTGAGCTTGGCCGAAGCCTCCTGAAACCCTCCCTCGCCCGCGCTCTTCTCCTCAGCCCCTCGAAGGCTCTCCGCAGCTCCGGGAAGTGGCCGGCACCGCGGAGCGCCCAGGCCCAACCGTTACTCGCACACCGTGGCCCTGCTCGCGGAATCCAATTCCGACTGGACACCGACGCCGAGAAGCAGGGTTCCGCGGGCGCCGCGCACTCCCAGCTCATGCCCTCCCGCCGGAACCTACGGAGCCCTACCGGCCTGCGCAGCCGGAAGAGGGACGGGCGGAAGGCGGCGAGGCGGACGGGCGGAAGGGGCGGGGTGGGACGGGCGGAAGGGGGCGGGGCGGGCGG